TGCCTCTGCCTCCCAAGTAGCTGGGACTATAGGAACTGCCACAAGCCATCATTGCTGTTTGGCGGGCCCAGGCTGGGTTCGCACCCGGCAGCTCAGGTGTATGTGGCTCGTGCTTTATCTGCTTGAGCCACAGGTGCCAAGCCAAGAAAGGGGTATTTTATTGGCTCTAGAGAAGTACATATTTTAGAGATCCTCAAAAGTGCCCAAATGCCTATGTTAAAGTAACAATGAAATGAAATTTTAATTGTTGTATAGGACAGTATTATTCTATAAATTTCTCATTCTGAATAAAATATGATATATCAAATTAAATTAGATGGAGACTAAATTTTCTAAGCCTCTGCTGGTGTTTCTCCCTTTCACACTATCCAGCATTCATCCATTTATTCTCAGAGATACCATCTTACTATTAATTGATAAGACTTTTATATCCCTCTTTATAAAACCACAATTTTTTGCATAAAAATAAAGCTTTCCTTTTGCCTGTCTATTAGAAAACAGTTCTAATCACGGTCTGTGAAATGATAAAAGCCCAGTAAATAAGTAAATAAAAACCTTACATATATTAATATATGTCAGGTGTTTTTGCATAATACCATATAATGCATATTTGTATATATCTACATTGTTCTCCAAGTTTAAATTATGTAGAGTAAAAGTCATAACTTATATACAAAGGAATTCCTAGTCCTATAGACAAAACAATGCAACAGGAATTTATTAAGATTTGTACTGGAGCGTTATATTTATCATAAAGAAAACTGTGAAATTCTACTTACAGTAAAGAACTCTACACCAGAAATAATATTTCTGAATACCATTAAGGAGGCTGAGTAAACAGAATATAGTCTCTGGAGTCAGACTGACTGACTTGGTTTGAATCCACTTTTAGACACTTAAACTACATGACCATTGGCTGGTTACTTACTTTGAGACTGATTCCTTACCTGTAAGATGGGGGAAATTAATTCAGGATTGTTTTGAGAATGAAAAGCAATAAAAGTAAAAACATTTACCATAGTAACTGGTATATATTAGCCATATAACAAATATTAGTTACCTTCCATTATCCTAAAAATAGATTTTATTCCAAGTCAATTTTACCTTCACTTGCAAACTTGCTGATGCCACTCTCCTTTCTAGATCTTCTACCTGTTGAAGGATACTCAAATCCATTTCCATAGCTTGTTCTTCTACTGACCAGTTTTCCACTATATCTCGAGTTACTTGGTTTTCTTCATTTTCATTTGATTCAATAATAGCAACTACATTGGAAAAGATACTGATTTTTAAATTCACTTTATTAAGTTTTTCCTCTCAGTGCTTTCTTCCAGAAAGTAAATAAAATTCCAGGGTACTAGGTACATCTAACTTAACACAAATGTACCTGTGCATGTGCAGGTAGCTTACTCTTAAAAATAGAAACACTCTAAAAAACATAAAACAATATGTCTGCAGGTATGAAAAATAAAACATCCATCAGTATCCATGGAGGATTGGTTCCAGAACCTCTGGAAAACAAAATCCATGGATGCTCAAGTCCCTTATATAAAATGAGGTAGTATTTACATACATCCTTCTGTATACTTTAAACCATTTCTTCATTGCTTATAAGACCTAATACAATGTAAATGATATATAAATAGTTGTTACATTGTCTTGTTTAGAGAATAGCAAGAAAAAAAGTTTGTACATCTTTAGTACATATGCAACCATCCTTTTTTTCTTCAGAGTATGGTTTGATCCATGGTTAGTTGAATTCATGGACGTAGAGCACAGGAATACAAAGGGCTAACTGTACTCTAATGTGTTTTAGAATAAAAGAATTAATTCTTATAACTAAGCAACAGAGCAGAAATCTCTTTTAGGTACATACCATCCTTATTTTTGATGCAGGCTTGAGTAATATAATCTAAGTGTTTCTGAATTTGTTTTTGTAATGCCTTTTCTCTTATTCCTCTGAGATGGAGCACTTTGAGCAAAGCTTTTAGGTCCTCTGGGTCAATAATTCTCCACCAACCAAACTGCATTTCTAAATCAAGATAAATACGTAGATCTTTTATAAATATTTTGAATAAGGGCATAACACAAATCAAAAGATATATTTTAACTAGTTTTAAAAAATCATTGTGGTTTCAGCTATAATATAGGAATCTATCATATGATAATGAAATTAAGTAAATGGCTAAACCACCTCAATGTACCTACCTTCTGGAATGGGTTTTGGATTAGGAAAATCTACTGGTTTTGCTACTTCAACAGCTGCAAGTTGAGTTGAAGAGACCTTTTCATTCTGTGGGACTGGAGATTCACTTTTACTTGAAGCAACATTGGAAGTCAGGAGTGAATTACCGTTTCCTTCTGATAATCCCAACCCTGATCCCAGACTAGGTAAAGGCGATGTAAATGGAATATTGGAAGTAAGCACACCAGTGGGCCACCCACAAAACTGAAGACCCATCATAGATACGCCACTTTTCATCTATAAAAACAAAACATTTTAAAAGATTAATTTAAGAAGCAAGGGAACATGTTTACAATCCGAAATTATTTTTCAAATGCTGCAAAAATATTCTTTTACTTATGACAATTACAGGAAAACTTAATATACTTGAAACAATGATGTTAAATTCCACATTCTTTTTTGGTCCCCAAAGTAACTTCCTTTTCAGGTATTCTCTAACAGTAACAAGTTAAAAAGTAATTAAAGAAGACTCAGACACAGGTTAGAAATCAGTAGTTTTGACGAAGCATGGTGACAGAAATTCTGACTTGCTTCACTTTTCAAAATGTGGCAGAGACACTGTAATTACTCAACTGATCTCCCTTGAGTGAAAATCTTCACAGAGTCAAAGATTACATAAAGTAATATAAAAAAGGGTTACAGTTAGCAGTACGAACCTGAAGAGGAGATAAAGCAAATGGACTGAGGCCAACGGGATTCTGAGCAGAAGATGATCCAAGAAGAGGAGCTGGCGCAGGTGAAGGTGACTTAGATGGTGGCTGAGACTGAGGAGTCACTAAAGAAGCACTTGACATATCAGCATGGGTAAGTGAAGTGTCATCACAAGGTGTTCTCGGCAAAAGGCTAAACCACTGTCTATTCTTTTCAGTCAATGTTTTTAACAACTGGTCATTGGGGAGAGGACTATAGAACTTCCCTGGACCACCTGGGTTAGTATTAAACAGATTATTTGAGTCTGTCTTTTCCATGCTGCTTTGTGTTGCTGTTGATTGAACGCTGCCCAGTGAATGTTTTCCACTGTTTGGATAAGACGTTGTGCACCCATTTGTACTAACATTTGGTTTGGGGGTCATAATATCTGATTCAGGAGGCATCTTAGCTACTTCTAAAAGCTTACTTAATTTAGAAAAAGAGCCAGGTTTCTGAAGAAATAGATTTGTGTTATCCTTTTCTTTAAGATCTTCCTTTTGCTCACAGTGATCTGTATTTGAACAATTTAAAGTGTCCCCAGAGGTCTCAAACATTTCTTCTTTGATCTGGATACTTTCTGCCTTTTTAAGTTTTTCTCTTTCTTTCGCAATTTCTTCTAGTCCTACAAAATCAAAAAGCATTATAAAGATTAGTTAATTCATATCAAGTTAATATTATAATTAAATTTATTACTATTTATCAAATTATATGCATAAATATTTAGACAAGTATTTCTAGATTACCAAATACTCCCTATATGTTCCCCACCTTTTTGGCAGGGAGGAGATAGAAGTGAGGTAGGGTAGGTCTTGCAATTTTTCCCAGGCTGGGCTCAAACTCGTGATCCTCCTACTTCAGCCTTCCAAGTAGCTGGGACTATAGGCACATGCCACTCTGCCTGGCTGGTATGTTCCCTCATTAGAAAATTAACATAGGCTCAGCGCCCGTAGCACAGTGGTTACAGCGCCAGCCACATACACCAAATTTGGCAGGTTTGAACTTGGCCCGGGCTAACAAACAACGACAACTGCAACAAAAAATAGCCAGGTGTTGTGGCAGGTGCCTATAGTCCCAGCTACTTGGGAGGCTGAGGCAAGAGAATAGCTTAAGCCCAAGAGTTTGAGGATGCTGTGAGCTGTGATACCATGGCACTCTACCAAGGGTGACATAGTGAGACTTTGTCTCAAAAAAAAAAAAAAAAGAAAGAAAGAAAATAACATATATTCATTGACAAAAAATATAAAAATGTTATAAGTAAAATAAAAATTAAAAGCACTACTACACAGCAAAGATTATATTTTCATATAAATCCTCTAGTAGCAAAAAAAATACACACCTAAACCCATGTAATTAAAAAAGGACATTCTTTTAGTTTTTTATTTTTTGAAACAGAGTCTCACTATATGAGCCCTTGGCAGAACAATGTCTAACTTGCTAATTATTAAATCCCAGATGCCTAAAATGGTAGCAGCTGCAAAATTGAGCTCAATAAATATTCCTTGAGTGATGAATTAGGATGAATTTAATATTTTTACTAATAATATTCCTTACGAGAGCTTTCCATGGTAAAACATATAATTGTACTTCATTTTTTCAATCAGCTGAGTAATATTCTGTCATATGTATCTATCATAATGTACCCAACTTGTCTTCTAGTAATATTTGAAATAGTTCTCACAGCCTTCTCTTCAAATTAGTCTCTAATTGAAATTAAAATCCTATACATCAGACTAATATTACTGACCACCATAGAGCAACAGGGACTAGATTTACCCTCTTGTATAAAACAACCAAAACCAGACAAAATACATGAACCAGTAGTTCATAAAAAACTGGATATCAAATAACAAGGACAGAAAAGAACTAAAAAAACTCATATGATTGCCCCAGCTTTTTCCAGAGGGTGGGGAAGAACAGTCTCCAGGCTACAGTACAGAGAGGAAGAATCCAGGTGGGGCCTGGCAGACTCCTTGAGATTAGGAGTTGGAACTGAGAGTTCAGGCAGGGACACCAAAAATACTCACAGGGAAAGAAATGCAGAGGTCTGCAGAGGGACCCCTTGAATATTCAGCTAAATAATGATCAGCATGTACAGGGGAGGAACCTCCCTGAGGCCAGGAGGAAAAACCACTTGAATGGATTAAAGGTGATAGTGTCAGGTGCTCACACAGGCTGCGGGTAGTTCCTGTTCCTACCCACAAATTGGGGAGACTTGAAGATTCACATAGAGAACTCAGAATGATCTTGCATCAGTAGTGCAGATACTTATTAGCCTTCAACTAAGCACTGTTCTAGTCCTGTCTAACAAATATTAAATGCAAGACTTGA